GGAAACGCTTGCCGTTGTCGCGGCAGCTCGGCAGGTCCCTGGGACCTTGGGCGGTCTGTGTGCCGAGGCAGGGACAGTGCCTCCGCCGGCTTTTCGCTGCAGCCCCCAGCGCTGACTTCTGGACAAGACCCTTCAGCTTACTCAGATTTTGTCAACATTAGTGTCACTAATAAGACTGGGTTCACAGGAAAGTAAATCAATATTTGCGGAGAAGGGACTTTGTTTGTTCTTTTTAAAGGTCAATTAAAAGGCCAAAGCGAAATCTCAAAGGGAATTATCTTCTGTCCCGCAGCTAAAAATAATTCTGAGGAGGGTGTGGAAGGATGGCCCGCTGTCTGGACTGGCCCCTTATTCACTTGGCATGAAATCCCCGGAGAGGGAAGAGGCACTTAGTGTTCCCACGGTTCAGAACCTGTGCCCACAATGAGCCAGGAGTGTTGCCCTCTACCCTGGGTAGGGAGCAGCGTGACTAACGTGGGGTTTGTGAAAAAATGGGGCTGGAGTATTGATCTATAGGTTGATAGAACTCTGTCATGGAGGGCAAGCCTGGTGCTTAGGGAGAAGAGAAAAGCATTTCAAACTTGAACCGTGAAACAACTCTGGCAATAATTTGCAGTGAGGCAGACCAAAGAGCTAGCTTATCTCTGCCCCAAATTCTGATGATTTCTAGGCTTACAGCCCGAATCGGTCTGCAGCTGACAGACTGTAACCCTGGCCATAAGAATCAAAATGACATAATATTCAGGGTCACAGTCATCATACCTGGACCATGGAAAGTTTCTTAATGTCACTACCAATACAAACTACTTTTAGTTCAATATTCTTTCAACCACACACACACACACACATACACAGAATTTATAAAACAGAAGCAGCAACATCACCTATGAACAGTGAATCTGCAAGGAAGTTACACACCCACTGGTTACGAGCCTACCAAGCTATAAGTAGTCACTTCAAGTTAGGTACCAAGGAAATGTCCTTCAAAAGCCCAGGCGCCCGAGCTGCGTCCTTCCGCTTACCTGCTTTGTGTATTTGTTTACTGCCTAAGGAAAGCCCCAGGCAGCCAGGTGCAAGAATACAAGGCTCCTCAGAAGGTGAAAGGGATGCTTGGTGTCCTCTGAGCTGCGATCTCAATTCCGATGCTTTGCATGTGGCTGAAATAGCTCAAGTGCTCGGTGCCTCACCCGGGATTGAGAGCTGCTCCCGGCTCTGGGCTGGAGGGAAACTTGGTTTAAGGCTAAGTGTTAAAGAGAATTCCTGTCATAGCTCACAGTTGTTCTTCCTAAATATAGAGTTTGATACAAGCCATACGCTAGCTGCCTCCGAAAGGCTTGACCGTGCTGAAAGCAGGGCTCAGATGTCAGCCGGAAGGTGGCTACGGAATCTTACTGCCCTCCTAATCTTCCAGGAGATGCTGGCTGCATTTTCTCACGTATTCTGAGGGGGCACAGTGAAGTTTGAAAAGTAGGAAAAGTTTCTATCTTTAGCTTTATTACCTGGAGGCCAGAAGATAAGGAGTGTTCAATAAAAATAGGAAAGAGGCAGCATGGCACCCAGCTTCTCAGCAGGGCACAGACATCACAGAGTGTTTGAGTCCTAGCTTGGCCACTTAGGACCTGTTAAAGTTATTTCAGAATCACTCAATAGATGGTCACCAAATGATGATGATTATAATATTCTGGTGAACTATAAGACATCACCCTTTTCGTAGGTCAAAAGTGGTCACATATCAACTGACTCCTGTGGTTCTAGGGCCCAGAGTCCTTGCTCTCTCTGCTGTACTGCCTCTGCTGGTAGCGATGACTTTGACCTTAGCGCGCAGGAGAGAGCAGACTAAACAAAATAAAGAAGAAATCGATTTTAAGTATGAAAAAAGCCAGGACCAGGTATGAGGCAAAACGCTTTTTAAAGAGAACACTGCCAAGTCCTAAGGCACACCCTCATTATTTTTGTTCTGGGTTTTTTGGGGGGTATTTTTTATTAGGGAGTTCTTGGGCTCATTATTTTTAACACTACTGAATTTTTTTCTTTTTTTTTTTTCCTTCTGCAATCTCTGAAAGTTCCTTTGCATGGAACTTCCCTTCAGTAGAAGGATTAAACAGAGTGGACACACTTACAATGCATCCACTGGATGAAAGTAACTCCATGTCTCAGTCCCTGACTGCATGGTCAGCCACTGGAACTCTCACCAGCAGCCACCTCCTACCAGCCCTCTCGTTATGTGAAGAAAAGACGCTCCAATTAGTATGAGTCCCTGAAGTCAGGTTTCTGTTCCCTGCAGCTGAATGCATTTCAAATGGAAGCAGGTGGGTAAAAAGAATACCAGCTTTCCAGTAGCTTAGGAGGTCAGCAGATAACTGTGGTTCATCGCAGTTTGGGGTTCACCAGTAAGTTCTATTCATGTGCTGTTTTAAAAAAGTGTCTTTAAAATTTAGTTTAGATAGTATACTTTGAGATCATATAGCACCAAAAGTGAGTTATTTTCACAATGGGAAAGAATATACTGAGCACCCTAATATTTCCCCAGATGGTTGGCTAATCCTATACGTTCAGAGCTCTTCACCAGACAATAGGTGACATCACTCCATGGATGAACGACAATGAGCCATTTCTGATCCCTTGCCTTGCACTCAGCCCATACATTTTGCCACAGACCTTTTGTTCCCAACCATCCCCCAATATCTGGTGTGGTACATTGTCAAGGAAAGTATTTCTGGCAGCAAAGCCTTGTCCACAGGGCTGGCCCAACATGGGCATGGCTGCCTCTGTGGGAAGAGCTAAGGTGAGCTGCATAATCAGACTACTTTGGTCCTAAGTGACAGAAACCCAAAGTGAACTAGTTTAAGCCAAGAGGAGGTGTGGCAAACACTGTTCATACCTTTCTCAAAATCTCCTCGCCCACCTGAGTTCTCCTACAGCCGCAGACAGCTCCCAGAGCGCTGCCAGCTTCACAGCTCAAAAGCCGGAATCTCTCTGCTTCTCTGCATTGGCGCTCTCCCCATCTCCAAGGCAGGCTGCCCGGGTGTGCTACAGGCATGACCCATAAGTGCCAGGGAACACACCCCCCTAGGGACAAACTTCAGTCAATGGAGATGAAGTCGGTGATAAAACCTCCCTGTTCTCTGGTGGAATGATTCCAACATATAGTCTTGGTTTGGGTTGCCTCAAACCCAGACACTGAGACAAAGACTTGGTTGCAGGTGGTCTGTTTGGGTACTGATCCCAGAGAATACATGTGAGGAAGTGGGAAAGTGGGAAAGTGGGACAGGGAAAGGAGAAAGCCAGTAAGGTGTAATAATGAGCAACTTCCTGCTGTGGGCAACTGGGGCTCAGTACTGACAGTCTTGTGGGAGCTCCTTTGTAGGTAACTGTCTTTCTCTTGTCGCTTTTAAGATTCTCTCTTTGTCTTTAACCTTTGCCATTTTAATTATGATGTGCCTTTGGGTTCATCTTGCTTGGGGGTCTCTGTGCTTCCTGGACTTGTGCGTCTTTTTCCTTCACCATTTTAGGAAAGTTTCCTGTCATTATTTTCAAATAAGTTTTCCATTTCTTGCTCTCTTTCCTCTCCTTCCTGCACTTCCATGATGCAAATGTTGGTACCCTTAAAATTGTCCCATAAGCTGCTTACACTATCCTCATTTTTTTTTATTCTTTTTCTTTTTGCTGTTCTGATTGGGTGTTTCCTGCTACCTGGTCTTCCAAATTTCTGATTTTATCCTCTGCTTCATCTACTCTATTATTGATTCCCTGTAATTTATTCTTCATTTCTGTTAGTGTATCCTTCATTTCTGACTGGTTGTTTTTTGTTTTCCATGTCCTTTTTTAGGCTGTTGGAAGTTCAAGGTTCCTTGAAAATCCTTATAACCATTGTTTTGAACTCTGTATCTGGTAGTTTGCTTGCCTCCATTTCATTTAGGGTTGTTTTTTTTCTTGCGATTTCTCTTGTTCTTTCACTTGGGACCTGTTTCTTTGTCTCTTCATTTTGGCTGCTTCCCTGTGCTTGTCTCTATCTATTAGGTAGAGCTGCTACATCTCCTAGGCTTCATAGCGCAGCCTAATGTAGTAGGTGTCCTGTTGGGCCCAGTGGTGCAGCCTCCACATCACCCAAGTTGGGTGCTTCAGGTGTGCCCCTTGTGTGGACTGTGTGCAGTATCCTGTTGTAGTTGATCCCTGATTGCTGTTGGCACAACACTAGGAACTCAGAGCAAGTGAGTCCAAGTAAGTCTATGCATGGGCCCTTTAAGAGGAATGCTGGGACTCCAGCTGCCCTTCATCTCACTAAGCCAAATCCCTGCTGGTTTTTACAGCCAGAAGTTATGGGGACTTCTCTTCCCAGCACCAGAACCCTGGGCTGGGGATTCTGACATGGGTCTGGGACCCCTTGCTCCTCAGGAGGGACCTCAACAGCCAAGATTTTCCTCCCGATTTTTATCCACCACACGTGGGTGTGGGACCTGCCTGTTCCTTGTCTCTGCCCCTCCTACCAGTCTCAATGTGGCTTCTTATTATTCCTAGTTGTAAGACTTTAGTTCGGCTTAGATTTCAGGCAGTTCTGAATGCTGGTTGTTTTGTAATTTAGTTGTAATTTTGATGTGGTTGTGGGAGGTTCTAAGTACCAGGTTTACCTATGCCAACATTTTGACTGCTCATCTTATTAGTAATTTTCTAATGAGTGTTGAAATGGACTATTTTCGCAGGGTTTTGATGGCTTATAAGTGTACTTAGAATTACATTTTTCTGCATTGTCACATGAGACCTCTATAACCTGGCTCCTTTTCAAAAATGAGGTAACTCTAATCCCTTTGGTGACACATGGTAGATGGGGGAGGGTCCTCCTCCAGGATCTGAAGCAGTAGCCACCTGGCACATGTACCAGAGATCTGGAATGTAATGGAAATGTTACCATGGCCTGTGTGCCCTTGAACAAAACTTTTCATCAACTAGAATTTCACGCAAGGTCAAGATTTGTAAAACTGGGGAGAATCACAATTACAGCACACTGTGTGCAGGACTTCTCCAGTTTCCTTTCCTTCCTGCTCTAAAAATGTTGTTTGTTTTTTTAACTAAACTAGATCTGTGAACATAAATGAGACAATAAACTTGTAAAAACCTGGGTCTTCCTAGAGAGAAAGAAGGAATAAAACCCTAACCTAAAGCACGTCACAGAGACAATGCTGAGTTCAGCACACTGTCTCCAGTTCCCCACACTATATTTTCCAGGCTCACTCACAGTTAGATAGGGGTCATGTGACTGAGCTCTGGCCAACAGGATGTGGGCCCAATTAGTGTAAGCTAGTGCTACTCAAAGAGTGGTCCATGCACCAGTGCCCATTTGCAAACTGTTTGTTACCAGTTTGCAATGAGATAATACAGAAATTTAAAAGTAAGCCATTAGGCTACCATCAACAAATCAACAAATGACATATGCTGGTGAGGATGTGGAGAAAGGGGACCCTAGTGCACTGCTGGTGGGAATGCAGACTGGTGCAGCCACTGTGGGAAACAGTATGGAGTTTCCTCAAAAAAATTAAAAACGGAGCTGCCTTTTGACCCAGTGATCCCACTTCTAGGAATATATCCTAAGAATCCTTAAACACTAGTCAGAAAGAATATATGCAGCCCTATGTGCCTAGCAGCACAGTTTACAATAGCCAAGATCTGGAGATAGCCCAAGTGCCCATCAGTAGATGAGTGGGTAAAAACCTGTGAGACGATTACACCATGGAATACTACGCAGCTATAAAAAAGAAGGATCTCTTACCCTTTGGGACAGCATAGGGGGACCTGGAGAGTATTATGCTGAGTGAAATAAGCCAGGCAGAGAAAGACAAACATCACATGATCTCACTCATATGTGGAATGTAATGAACAGAAGAAACTGATGAACAGAATAGATCCAATGACACGGAAGCATGGATCAGACCGATGACTGTCAGAGGGATGGAGGAGGGTGGGTTAGTGCAGAGTGATTAATCTAAGAATTTCTGTGCATATATGCATAACCCATGGACACAGACAATAGTGTGGTGAGGGACTGGGTGGGGGAGTGGGTGGGAGGTGGAGAGGGTTAATGGGGAGAAAAAAGGACATCTGTAATATTTTC